AATATTTGAAGTTTTGATAAAATTATCGATGTTCCAATTTTCATCGATAACTTTCAAAATCCGCTATTAACTTAATTTCTTGAAGGATCCTTGTGAACATATCACCAATTATTAATTTAAGTATCCTCTTTTTACAGTTGCTTCGATAGTTAAATGAGCATCAAAAAAGTTCATTTTTTATTTTTTTCTTATTAGCTTTCTTATTAATTTCATTTTTATTCACATATCGCAATAATGTGGCAATATAGGGTATCACGTCAGTAGTGCACCAGAAATTATAATTATAATGATCGGATAGATATGCCGTATAACCGGATATCCGGCCGAAAGGGATGCCGAATATCCGGTATCCGGCTTTTCGCAAAATCACTATCCGTTCCATCACTAGTTACTAGGATATCTGTCGTAATTCTGCCATAGATAATTGGAAAAGCTTCTATATACAATATATGAATAACAGATGTTGATGCATTTCTTCAAAATGAGATACAGGTTGAGAAGTTTTGAAATGCGTAGTAGCAGTCATCAATTGAAAGCACCTCGAGATCGAAAGTTTTAAGTTTTTAAGTCATTCTTGCCATTTACTTCTTATGGATTAGTTTGGAAGGTCATAATCGGGTTTCCTCGAAAGATTTTATAGCAGCTTTAAGTAAGCTGTAAAAACTGCAAATAATGCAATAATTGAGTACAGAGTATGCTCACTAGTGACTACTTAGTATTTTGTCAGCAAATTATAACAAATATAAATGAGTATAATGAAATTCTAGACAAGCTGTGGTGTCAGATTAGTTCTAATTTCTTTGTTTTGATTTCCACCCTGTATTTTCATCTGACCTACATTTCCAAGATTGATTCTAAGACTTCCAATATAATCTGTTCCGTGATACAAGTCGCACGTGGCCTACCCGTTTTATGTATAATATTACATACTATTATTTGTCATTGGAACAGTTCGATACTGTCATCAGGAAATCCATACATGAAGTGAATGACTCCTTATCTGTCATGGACTTCTATGCAACTCACAATCTTTTTAACAATTTAACACTATCATTGGAAAAGTTGCAGTCCCCTTTCCTTGCTTTGTCTAGTGTTCTTCGTCAACGGTTCAACAGACTGTTCTAGTTTGTTGGCCTTCCTCCTCCAGTTTCTGGACCTAAACATTGTACTGGCGTCCCTGTTGATCTTGTCATCCCTTCTTGCTCTCGGCTTTCCCCTGAATCTCGCTCCTTGCATTCTCCTGTTAAGCAGTTGCTTCTGTATTCTTCCCTTCTTCATTCTGACCGCATGTCCTGCCCTTTGTAATTTCTGAATCTGGATGTACTAGGAGCTAATGCTCCTTGTAGTAGCTGTGTAGTTCCTAATTATATCTTGTTCTCTATATATTATTCTCATATTATTACATTGGGCCTACATCCTTCTCAGGATTGTCTTCGCGAAGGCGTATTGCTAGTTTCTGAGTTATACTAAAGCAGTTCATTTTTTGATGCGTTTTCTTTTTACAACTTCCAAGTTTTTTTATGCTCTTGCATTATTCTAATTATATCCTTTTGTACCCTGATTTAACATTTTCTGGACAAAATCCAGTCTTTTTACTTTTTCAGTCAACTATTTTGGTATTATCACAGTTTAAACGCCTCATTGCCTAATGTGTAGAATTCAGCTATTAGTAAAATGTATTCCTTTACACTCAATAATTTTATTATACATTAATTATTATTAACATTATTATTAATTTTATATATATTTCACTCATTAATTTACTGTTTCGCATCCAACTTAATAAATTTAACTCCAGCGTGATCCAATGATCTTTTATGATTGGATTGCCATAAGAATGCCAAATAATGGATTTCTTACATGCAGAATCTCTTTGATTTTCAGTACAATTTTCGACATCATCTATGACTTATTATTGTCATATACCCATTTGTTCCCCAAAACGTTTGATCGTAGCCTAGTATTAATTAATGAAGGGTAAGCAACATTTTCTCAAATGGCAGGAAAATATAAGCGCAACCTAAATTTAGCTAAGATCACTAATGCAAAAAAAGTGATGTTCTAAAATACTCCAAATATGATCAAATAAATATGAAACAAGATAGCTAAAGTGCGCAACTTTTTTAACTGATCTAAGATGCCATTAACATATTTATGTTCTTTAATTGTCTTCATCGTAATTGCAAATCTGTTATCTTTCATTGATTTTATCCGGATATTCCTTTCAATTTTCCTTCATATTTATTTTCATTCCTTTTCAAATTAGTAACATCTTAGAAGTAGTTAAAATGAAGACACTGTGATTATATTTAACGCTAATATTCCATTAATATTACACTGTACTATATATTTAATACTACATAATTATTAGTTCTTTTTGCCAAGGCATAATAACTAAGCTTTTGATCTTTCCACCTAATTAAATATTAAATTAATTAAATTAACCTTGATTATACGAAAGCTTTCACGTGATTAAACGTTTCTTATAGTTACGAAGAAATGTGAATGTCCATTAGACCATTCTAAAAATAAATTAAGTAAAAAAAAAGATTTTTTTTTCTTTTAATAATTCGTAAATATGTTTCCGTTCTCGTATACGTCAAGAACAAATTTAAGTTTCGCAATTTACTAATTGATTTAATGCTATCAATTTGAGGTAACGATCACGTAGGATCGTTATCGCGACGATTTATCATCGTTAAAGTTCAATAATACTCGGTAATCTTCTCAATAATCCCTGCGCAAGTAATTGACTTATCCATTCGTAATCGTGATTTTAAACAAACGTAAAAAATGTGCTAAACAATAAGTGTGAGTGGTGTTACGATCTCTCTGCGATATAAAAGATAATATGGTGTGAGCGTTTATTTCTATTATAATGTGTATAAGAAAAGTTGCATGTTGATGATGATAATAATAATAATAAGACGGGGATATAAAAAAGAAAAAGAAATAAAAACGTGTTGGAGAGCAATAGAAACAATGGACCTTAATCCGTATCCAAGATCAGAAGGAGATGGCGTTACCAGATTAGACACCCAGTTTTAAACAAAGAATTGACTATGTGCAGCATTGTTTTCGTGAAAGAGAAACAACGGTTCGAAAAAACTTCGACGAGATAACAAGCGACAGCGCCTTCAATACGAAACTTTTAATTAGCAGTATATCTAATTACTGTTATTCGACGTTGTTCCTCCGCTTCCGACACGGGCGAATAGGAAAAAAATTAATAATGCATCGTGGAATGTCGAAGAACTCTAAGAGAATATTAATCACTTCCTGTACCCGCCAGGTTACATCTTCGAAGGGAAGTCAAAAAAATTGCAAATTTCGATGTTTCTCTCCTTCCGGAATATTACGTCATGAAAATAAATTTGAGTTGCCGCGAAAAATATAAGAATTGAATAATTCATTTTTTTCCTCGTTTATTCTTTACGTTTATTCTTTGCGTTTATTCTTCACACACGGGAAGTTATAAATTAAATTAATACGGGCGTATAACGATTTTCAAAGAGTAAAACCAAGTCATAAAAAATACAGGAACTACACATTTATTAGAAGTCCTGACAGACTTATTTCGTAATTATACCGTGTTTACCGGGTCTTAACACATGTATAGAACAAACGATTTATTTATTGCTCCAATAAACTCAGAACGTGCGCATATTCTGCTATATTTTATGTTCCTAAGCCTATCTGTATCTTTTTCACGTTGAACATAATAAAACTGTTACATCCAACTACCACCCACTGGTGGTTAATCTACATACAATGCCTGAGCTTCGCTATATAGAAGTCATAATCAGGGTTGCGATATATAGACAGATATTGATCTAAAAATAATTGGCACACACATGTAGGCGATTTAGAATAATTTTATAACTATTATCGTTGACGTAACAGTTTATGCGAAGTGTTTTGTAAAATTTCCAACGAAAATTTAAATAATGTTTAGTGATAAATCTGGAATGGAGTTATAGAAATATTGTGTTATAGAGATAATTTTTTAACGACCAATAAAAAAATAAAACGTGCGAGCTTCCGATATTCCATTTAATAACAAAATTCCTGTTTATTTTTTCACACATTTTCCATTATCGATAAAATTTCACGCATTATTTTTTTTTCGTCTATTTTGGGTCGGTGGTTAAATTATTTAATCGAATCGGGGGGGAGGCCGAATTCCGCGTTCGGAAATGGGGAAAAGCACGCCCTTTGGTGGATCGCGTATACAGTCTCTCCGGGAAGGTTCATTGTGTTCTCCCCCAAAATGTCTTAACCAACGGGATGAGAGGGCTCGTAAAATTATCTCGAATTACGTTTCCACGGTAGCAAAACCGATCGCCGCGAAAACCGTCCTTAACCGAGTCCTTCACAAGCGTTAAAGTCGGTTCCGCTCGTCAGTTTGGAAGAGCACCCTTCCCGTGATATTCGCCGAGGTGTAATAACCGCATTATTTATTTACCCTCCGGGGGATGTTCGCTCATGCGGGCATACATTTGCGCGCCATTATTAAAAATAAATCTGCCCTTCCCCAGTTTTTTAGACTGCTCTTTTTTTTTGGGGCGTCAACCAGTCAGAACCGGAATGTGTACATCTGCCTATAATTTAGTATAAAACTTAATTTTTTTATTCTAGTAATTAATTATTATTTATAAAGATTCCAATTGCGTTGATATGGCTGATATATTGTTGTGTAGATATTTTTTTGCGAAAAGCAAGCAATATTTCACGATGCGATCACTAGCAATACTGGAGTGTTTTTAGCAGCTAGATTTTTGTTTACCAGTAATAGGGGTGCCCACATCTGTTGTTCCGTCACGTGAGTTGTACAGGCAGAATTTATTGGGATTACCGTTGGAACAGATGTCCAAATATGCATTGCATAATTTTATGTCGGTAAAATGCCAAGTACTAAAACAACAATTTATTATTGATTATAAAAACAATAAAATTTTCTTTTTCTATACACAAATATGTATAAAATACAAACATTTATATATAATTTTTTCTTGTTTTAGAGTGCAGTATCATCGGGTCCTAGTCAATCATCTTCTCCACCTACGACGATGGCAGTCACATCTTCAGCACCTACACCTGGAAGTCCTCCATCTCAACGTTGTTGCGATACCGGAAGACCAATTTTTACGGATCCTATAACTGGTCAAACCGTGTGTTCATGTCAGTACGAATTATTGGGTTATCAAAGATTAGGAGGAATGCCTGGATTACCAGCTCTATCTATGTATAGTGCCCCTTACCCCGAAGGAATTTCGGCGTATTTTCCCGCCTTAGGAGCCGACCAAGCACCTTTTTATTCCCCTCCGGTAAGTTGGAAAAGTTTCTTATTTTAATTTTGTTTCTACACCAAATTGAATTTGTGTATAACTCAAAAAATATCATTGCTATAATGAAATCTTGTTTTTTAAATAATTTAATCCTCCATCGACATTAGATTCTATACCGTAATCGTTTCTTATAATCAAACACGCCCACATTTGTGATTGTATAAAAAAGGATTATTATATTATACAGAGTGTATCTAAATTGATGCGAAAGATTTTAAGGGGTTTTTCAACGAAAATTAAGAGAGGTCTGTCATATAACTTTTTGGTCAAAACCACTTCTCCTCCAAGTTATAGCCCTCAAAAGTTAAGGGAAAATAATCTGTAACGTTTTTATCTCTTCACATTTTACAACTAACAACACTAACAATTGTTAGTTTAATCACAAAAAATTTTGACATAACGTAATTTTTTTGACTAATAATAACCAATCACTGAATTAATTCACTTGAGCCTGTGTATTATTTTATTTTTTTGTGATCAAACTAACAATTTTAGGAGAAAATGACAAGAGACAAAAAAGTGTTTGAATCTCTCTATTTAAATCAAGTTTTTAAATAGAAAAATGTAGACGCATTAAAAAGTTCTGATGCAAAGTATTATAGGGGTTGATTTTTTCAGCCCCTTCTAATAACATTTTCGGATTATAAAAGTCGTCAAATAGTGTCATTTTATTAGCAACAGTTATCTGCCAAATTTCATTCTTCCAAATTCCTCCATAGTGGATTTATTAAAGAAAAACAATTTTTTCCCTAATTTTAGAGGGACTGTAACTTGGAGGAGAAGTGGTTTTGACCAAAAAGTTATATGAAAGACCCCCCTTAAAATCTTTCGCATCAATTTAGATACACCCTGTATATACACGTATTTTTATAATAAAGTTACAAAAATGATGTAAAAATCATAGAACAAAATGTATGATTCGAAAAGTATACTATTGTTGCAACTTTGTTAGAACGATCGAAAAAAGAACAAGAATATATTAGGTTTTTTTTCTCAATCATTTCTATTTTTGGAATTATGATCGATTTTAGTAACAAAAACATTTACTTTTGGTAAGAACTTTGTTACTATGGTAACATATGATTTACTAGGCTTTCTATCATGTTTTAAGCGTTATGTTGTGTTAAGAAGCAATATTTGTGTTGTATTCATTGTAGCTTCTTCTTCTTATAATAGGGCACAGCCCTACATTTCTTCAACACATTTGGAGTCTCGACTGGGGGGGTGAACTCCAACTTTCCTACCACTTCTTCATCCAGGAGATCTGGTGCTATGTGGTTTTCCCTATCTGGAAATTTTCGCCAATCTATTCTGGCATTCTTCTCACATGGCCTCTCCATTCTCTCCGTCTGCCTCGCACCTATCTGCCTATATGATTTCGCTTCGTATGCGGTCTAGCAAAGAGTAGCCAGTTATAGATTGATTAGTTTTTATTGATGGTGGTGTTCTTCGCCCTTCTTTCAATGACATATATCAGCACTGGTTTTATAATCGTCTTATATATCATCACTTGACCTTTTTTGAAGTATTTGTTAATCCAAATTACTTCCCGAAGGAACCCTATACTATCGCTACTGTTGTGATTTGTGTATTGGCTTCTTCTTTCAGGTTTCTATTGCTAGTGATAACTATATGGTACCATATATATGGTACCTATCTAAGCTAGTTTATACCTTCTTGATTCTTTTGTTAGTGTTACGTTTTCTGTACTGAGGTTTGCATATTTCCTTCTCTGCTGTCAAATTTGAACAGCTTTCTTTGAAAGCTATCTCGGTCTTCAGAGATTAAGACTGCATCGCAAGATTAATCTGTATAACATATGATTCTTATATCCTTCTCGCCCAACCTGTAGAAGGGAACCTGTATTCTCTTCTCCATGCATTGTTTCATCAATTATTTCGTTCATCACTAAATTGAATAGAACTGGGCTCACGCTATCTCCTTGCTTTACTGCAGTTGTAATTGGTATAGCTTTCGTGGGTCACAACGTCAGATAGTCTAATCCTATATAAGTCTGTTTAAAATCGACGAAACAAATAAAAGCAGTCTTGGCGAACATTTTTCTTGCTTTTCCGTTATTAGTCGGATAACGAAGATTGCATCTATAATTAACCTGTTCTTTTCTGAATCACTATTGTTGTTCACAAGCCCCCGTTGCTGGTATTGATAGCACCTCAATATTAGAATAGAATTCATAAGGCTAATTCCTGTGTAAATATTTGGGTTTGTTTTTTCACCCTTCTTGAAAATTGGTATCAGTATGCTGCACTTCCATTTTGCTTTTGATAATTATGTTAAATACGTTGTGTATTTTGTCTACCGATATGTCTCCGTCATATTTAATAAGCTCGTTTCTTATGTCATCCATCCCATATGATTATCTGTTATCTATTAATTTTTACATCTGCATGAGGAGGTTCTGTGCTCTCCTCGTTTTCTGCCATATCACGATATAGCTTTTTAATGTATTTTTCACATTCTTCCGCCTTGATTTTTGTTGTCTGTGTGAACTTATTTACTGTTTGCTAATAAATCTACTTGTTAGCACTTCTTTTCGTGAGCAAAGTAAAGTTAAGAAGAATTAACTCATAATCTTTCGATAGCACATGCATTATAGAACATGGTAATTGCATGTTCTTGACCTAATTTCAAGCGGTATCTCCTATCAGCTGCTTCCAAAACAAGGGGTGACAGATACATGAAAGCTCCAATTCTATTCTAGAAGTATCCGAGGTACAGTATTAGTATCATGTGAAACTAAGGTTCCTTGACCTTGTACTAATTTCCTGTCGTTCTTGAAGAAATTGATCTGCAGTTTCATATGTTGGACAACCTTCCGTGTCGTCATTCTTGTACTTAAACCAGTCTCAAAACCTATGTATTGATTCAGATATAGATTCGAGAAATGTTAAGGAATTAAAATAATGTATGTGATAAATATTTTTCTACGACGTTTTTATTATGTATTTTTGGATTATATATAAATAATTTATATCAACCATATTTTTCCCCATCGCTTTAAATTTTAGAGTTATTGAGTTTAATATTGTTTAGTTTAATATCGAAAATAATCAATTTTAATATTATGAAGATTGTAACATTCTTTATGGATAAAGTTGTTTTGATTCATTATTAATAATTTGTATTTAAAATATTTTTTATATCAATTTTAAATTTTTATGTTTTCATTTATTATCTAGAATAGGAATCTCAACTTAACCTATTTTGCAAATATTGTTAATGTATCAGTACCGTTCAAAAATGCGAGAAACTTAACAAATTTTTTTAAGTTTATTTTTTAAACGTTATTGTAACGTAGGGCATTTTTCCTATAGATATACATTAAAGTAACTATCTGACAACTTATATAAGCTATTCTAGTTATCCCGGCTTCGAGGCAACGATGACGCAAGAAACCTAGAATGCCTGTTGACAACATTGCGTCGTAACATTGACTTGTTATCACATTAAATTTACAAGCTCGCAGCATACCGACTCTTGTTGTTTCAATTGCCATTGCGTGCCAGTGACCAAATTACTAGCCGATAACGTTCGTCCTCCAAACGTTTCCATATCTGCGTCGAAGTCGTCGTTGTCGATTGCCATTTTCCCAGAAACAATATATTATACGTACCATATTACTATCAACATTATTATTTCTTTATAGTTCGAAATCGGTATAAATAGGTTTTTAAGTGACGCTCTCGTCAGCCGTTGTGATAATTAATTTGCTTTTGATTAATTTTTCCGCAACTATTCTTGATTAATGGGACCGTTTACGGTCATTTGTTAGCGCTAATGAGACAACAAATGGGTTGTAGAAGTATGCGCTATCGCCGTTATTTGTGCGTTTCTCTAATGCCGAGAAACCGTTTAACTGAGTTATATTACCGACCTGTTTTTTTTTTTGTTAATCGTTATTGATGTTATCAAGTACCTGCACATGTGCGATAATTTTCATGTCATCAAAGTAATTAAATTAAATGTGGAAAATTTTTGCATGTTAATTTAAAAGTTTTTTGATTAGGTATGAAATTGAGATTTAGTTCCAAAATGATAATGATTTATGTTCCATACGTGAAAATTCCTCGACTTCATTCTCACGAATGCTCCATTGTAGAGATAGTTTACATTTCTGCTCGTTCGTCTGGTACGGTCTACAAGAAATACAAGAATACTCTCGGGGTATCCAAATAATGAAGGTAGGCCGGGCCGCTGTCAGGTGCGTTCACAAACGTTGCCGTGATTAATATAATAATCCCTAATGAAGTTATAGAGACACGTCCCAATCCTGATTTATGACAAAACACATTTCATTTTGTTATAATCTTTGGCCAGGGTCCCAACATCTACGCGCATCAGCATCTTTCTGTCTTTATCTTCCCATTTTTCTCTATTTATCTCTTTCTCTCTCGTTCGTTCGAACGTTGCGAGCGTAAGTGTGGACTTATAACGAGGAGTGCTCGGTTAATCCTCCGGCCGACACACCACAATGACGGGCATTCATATTCATAAAAGCGCCTCGGACACATAATTAAATTTTAACTGTCATGTTTAACTGAATTATTCTGCCTAGACCCGGGACTGCACACACGCACACGCTAAACTCCGAGATCATGTACTGGAACTCAACGATTTCTTCCTACGACCCTTATGACACGTTTCTGACGCAATTATTTTCTTTTAATTATACTTATAATCAATTTCTAAAAATATGGATTCAGAAAAGAAATTTTTTCTTGGGATTAACAACAATTTCTGTTACGTATAATTCGTTTTAAATAGACAAACAATGTTAACACGTGTCAGGTATTGAAGCGTCGATTGGTTCCATTGGAACCTGACGATTAGGGCAGAGTTGTCCTCATTGGCAGTGTCCAGGGCTTGGAATGTTCTGTGACAATTAGATCATGTATCCCCCTCGGCAACGCCAACAACGTTATTGGCAGCAACGCTGGTATCGAGTCCTCTCGGGAAATGTTGCTTACACTTGTTTATCTATGTTAATTGGCGACTGGAAGTGTTAAAATTTATTACCCACGACATTCTTAACCTTTTAATGGATGGTTTTGATATTTTTAGATTAATTCCTAACAAACCAAGAGATCATACCTTCATTCTTAATCTTAGTATTCCGTTGTAATTTGGGTAATTAATTCATTTAATAGGTAATTTTAAAAAAACTTTGAGTGCACTTTATATGAACTTGGAATTCGTATTATCCGAGCGAAACATTCTCTTGTTATCGCCTTAAAAAGGAAAAAAACTTGAAAACCAAGGAGACATAAATAATGAATTCTTTCCGATAAGGGTACGTTTTTGCATTCAGGGTTCTTGTACATTTTTCACTCGATTATCTTGTAATGGTAAGTTATTAAGTATGATGATATTGATTTTTTTTTTAATTCTACAACGAACTAGCAACGGTAAGCTTGTTGAGTAAAATAACCTACACAAGTTATGGTTGCTATGTAATTGGTCTACGAACGCTTCAACGGAAAGCTAACGATCATTGTTAGAGGCATTCCTTATTATTAACTGATCGTGTGGAATTATTTGCGGCATTTTTCCCTTTAACCAATTGTTTTTGTTCTCTACTTGATTTATATATATTATTTCTTTTAATTGGCGAGAATAATTTATATATAAAAATAGCAATTATTGTAAAACCTCGAGATAACAAATTAATACGGGGAAGGCAGTGTCCGTAAAATGTAAAATTTTTAATTCGCACTTTAAATAGTTTGAAGCTTGTGAGAGCTACCACTAGCACTATAACTAACACTAGATCTAGAATTAGAAACACTCGGGTTTGGCCATATTAAGTTGATATAAAACGAGGACGTGAGTAGTCCTCAAAGCTGATTTCGAAATCTTTTTCCTAAATACAACTTAAACACCTTAGCTACAAGAGAAAATACATGAAAATACAAGTGTTAACCAAGGGAATTTTGTCTTGAATGGGTTGATTGTAGCTCCTCGGCTATAAGCAACCTCGACTGTCATCTACCACAAATTGCTTGCAACTTTATCGTCTATTTTGGCCGATTCGGCGCTAGTTTTATCTTTACAAGTCTTGATTGTGTGCCTCGGCTATTGATCTATCGCATTCATAAATATAAAACATGGACCTTGACTACAATCTCTCTCATCCTCCAATATATACCGGGTATTACTCACAAAATGCGCTAAAGCTGTAGCTGTAACTGTGTTATTACTATATTTCAGCCTATTTTTACATTTTTCCACCATAACTTCAATTTGCCATCGATTACCCCAACTTGCTCTTCAAACTAGAATTTTCATGTCTTCAACAGCGATTAAAAATTCCATTACAGATTCTCGCAGCACCTTAGCCATAAGCAAGCTGACTACAATTAATGCGTTCTGCAAAAATATAATGATCTGCATTGAATGTAAAAGTACCCAATTATTCTTTCGAAATTGCTGCTTTCTTTCTGAAGATAGACGGAGTTCTTATTCCTACCTAACTCGTTCGAGAACTGTTCGATTTCGTTCCTATATGTAATCAAATTAGGCATTTCCTAATAAATCATGGCAGATAGGTTTATCATGAATGGGTCAAAACAAATTATCCATGTCATCTAATATTGCAGAAATCATCTAATTGGCTAAATTTGGTTTGAGCCCACAACTTGATTTGCTTCTACTACATCTTGGTTATTTAGTGCCATAGCTTGATTTTTTATCACCACTATATGTTGGTCTTAAATTAAATTTTCTGCCAATTAATTTCCTGTTACCACAACTTGATTTTGATGCACCATTAGTTAGTTTCACCATAAGAAGTACGGCTTTTAAAATGGCTAAACCCGAATGTTTCTAGTTCTAGGTCCAATGTTAGTTCTACTTTTAGTTCAATGAAAAATATAAAACATTCTATCGCTGAATAACAACTAAAACAAGAACTAACACTACCATTAGAACTAACACTAGACCTAGAACTAGAAACATTCGGGTTTAGCCGCCTTAAGAAACGTACGGGTAAACCCGAATGTTTCCAATTATAAGTCTAGTGTTAGTTCTTCTTTTAGTTCAATGAAAAATATACAACAATCTAACGCTGAATAACAAATTAAAACTAAAACTACCGTCTTTGATTGATACTTAGGCAACTCGGGGAATATCCTGAGTTTATCTAAGAACATGGAATAGAGCAAGTTATTATATCCAGTTCCGTTATATCGAGATTTTACTATATTAGTTGTTTCAAACTTAAATTCGTTTATTATTAACAAAATAAGTTTGTTGTGTACGTGTCTGGTGGCTCGTATATTTATTTTTATTTACAATTCCGTGATGTACTCGCAGCTAATTGATTGTGATACATGTCAAAACATGTGTATTTTTTAATAGATAATTAATATCTTGGGGTCGACAGGTCACGACGAGTAGATGATACGCCGGTCGCGTTTTTTCTTTGATTCTCGGCCAAGCCGCACACGTTGTACATCATGCGTTACACAACTCCCTATCAACATACATCTGTATTACAAGCTGCGAATTATCTATTATTAGCGTGTGACAATAATTAATATGCGTATTAGCGTGATTACGCGTAATCAGACGTTGAACAAGACGGTTTACACAACGACTGATGACTTAAATAGTTTAATAATAACGGTTTATGAAAATATGTTTAATTTGTTTCAGGGTGCTGGTTTGGATCTAAAAGAAAATTTAGCGGGGACGCCGGCGTGGCCATATCCTTCAGTATATCATCCCTACGATACCGCTTTTGCTGGTTATCCATTCAATGGGTAAGTTTTAAATTTCATCATTTAACTTTTCTTTCTGGAAGATATCCAACGAATTTTTAGCTGATGGTAGAAAATGCAAAAATTTGAACTCCTTTTATTTGCGGATAATTTATCCTCTGTTGCAAAGGACGTGCGTCACACCCACAAGGGGGTTGTGCGAAAGGTCCTAAATAGCTTGGGGTCGTTATCTCTGTAAATAATAAATGACACGCGTCCAGACATCCGGACGTCGGTGGCCACCCGACACATTAGCCGTCTCCGTCTCGGAAACTCTTTTTAATAAAATATGACCATTCGAAAACAGGAAATCGAAAAGGTGTTATCTCAACGTTTATAGACGGATTCGTTTACTTTTTGAGTTCTATAACGTTCAGACGTCCCGTCATTTTTCAACCTCTTGACATCCGCGCTCTCAATTCATCAGCTCATTTATCAATAGCAAAAAGAAAAAAAAGAACCGACTTGACATGTTCGTAAACTTATTTACATGAATCCGTCTTGCATCCTGGTGGCATTTCGCGGTGTGTGGCCGTCAGATTATATGGCGCCTTGCGTCGCAGCCTTATCAACATTGACATAATTATTATTTATTGGGACTAATTCGCTTGAAAACAAGACTTACTCGCTTCGTTTAGCTGCATAATCTAACCATTTTTGTTTTAAATAAAGTTCTAGTTTAGTTTTTCTTATTTCTGATTAATGTAAACGTTCAGATTGAGATACTTAAATGGCAGTTTGTCCTAGAAAATGGCTTAAAATAGATCTCGATGTTTTTTTTTTGTTATTAATAAGACGTTTTCATTGCGCTATTTTAAATAATTGTGTTGAAAGATAAAAATAGTGAATAGAAACAGTTGCTTTGTATGTTGATCTTGTCTGTCTACGTGACACCATGATACCCCATTCTTTGTAGCACGTGGACCGAAAGATCCACGCCGCCAATTACGTCTGCAGAAGTCGCATTGTCAATTGCGCCAACAGTAGTTGTGGCTGGTTATTGTATCGACTTCAGTGCCGCCGTGTTTCCTCCCATCTTCGGGTACGATATGTGCCGACTGTGGCGCATGTAGAATGTCTATTAGGAGTGAGTCATGTACCACGACGAAGCCGGCATGCAGATTTACTATTATGGCGGCCGTGATTGATGCAGCGGTCTGAGGAAAAGGGAATTACCGACTTCGCCGGCACAGGTAGCGAACCTCCTCTTCAAACCGCTGCCCGTTTGGTTCCCGATCGTACATAAATAACAGATAAACGGGACGCGGCTTAATCGTTTAATGGGTACCGCGAGAAAACCCCGCAGTTTATTGGTGTTTGTTTGAATCGATTCCTATTCTCTATACTATTTTCTAAGAATTCAACAAATCTTATATTAAAAACAATCTTCAACAATCCCAGTTTTAATATTTGTATCCATGTTGCAAGTTAATTAAATATTTCTTTCTATTTATTAATATATATGGGACTAGTTTCGGGCTAAATGCCCATCTTCAGCCAAATCTATATGCACAAGATGGGACATTTATCCCGAAACTAGTCCCATATATATTAATAAATAGCAAGAAAGATGTTTTATCGTTTTATTAATCCCAGTTTTATTTTCACACGATCCAGATTATATTAAATACAGTGGCCTGTCTTTGACACATCTGATGATGAAAGGTTTTCGACAAACTTCGAACGCATTAAGGGAGTTCCATCACCCTGATGTGACATTTGGAGGAATAGATAGGAGGGTTTCGTCTTTTTTCCATCGATGAGGAGACGTGAGTGGAAAAGAGTGTGCGATCAAAGCCATATAGCTCTCTTGGTTGCAAAAGTGCACGCGGATACCCGTCGGGTCCGATGTAAATTAGCCGATGATACATCGATATTTAATTGCGTCCCCGTGTCCTTTTCATTTTTTTTTTATTTTCCCCGATCGTGGTCCGGGAAAATGCAAATGACGCACCGAACGGCAGATGGGTTCGGTCGCACCTGGCTTTGACACTGGTTCCTCTCGTTTGGGTTGAGTATATCTCGATGCGAATCGAAATATCTCGGCTTCTACAAAGAGATCGACCTTTTAAATGACATGTTTTATAAAAAAATATTTTCATTTTATAATTTCCTTTATAAAATCATTTCAACATTCTTTAATAAAATATAACGTTTTATTTTTATAACGTGTTGCTCAGGGTAATTTTGCTTACACACGGGGTTTCCAATGAAATAAGTTATGCGTTCGTGTGAACATACAAAGTTAAACATGTTCAGTTAGTAACAATTTTTAAATATTTGTTAACTATTATTAGAAAAGTATTTTAACAATAATTTAAGTGGGTGTAAAAATAGTGAAGTCAAAACATGTTGTTTAAAAAGTTTCTTGGTATCTGTGACTGCATAAGTAACTGTGTCAAAAATAAATAAATGAACTATTTTAGACTTATACGAAATTAAATCTCCACTTTTTCCTGCTTCAATTAAATAGAGTTTTATAACATATCTTTCCAACAGAGTTTCCTTATCCGGGATGAAAATGACAAACTAGCATGGGAGTCGTGAACCCTTACTTTCATTAATTTGATTTCTTTCTGGCTCTCGTGTTCGTTTACAACACACAAAAGATTTTCTTTGCTCGGGTCGTGTAATTAAAGGTCTTTGTCAAGATTTCAATTTGCGGGTCAGTTTCATTTGAATGTCAGAAATGAATGTTCGTAATCAGTTTGTTGTTGTTGTTTTGATGTGCTCCTATCATTTCTTTAATGTAGACTGAAAGTGGTGCGATATCTTCTGGAGATGTTTTGTATCATAAGAAATATTTATGATTTTTCTAGCCGAACATAATCACGTTTTCGAGAATAATCTATCCGGAGTTTTATGAAACATGATACCACATCATCGTGTAGAACGTTGTTGGAGAATTCTTTTATGCGAACGACATAAGGTAGAATTGGTACGCTACACATTAAGAGTATCAGGTATCAGTAGAAATTTTACAGTATCAAGGTCCAAGTTAATGAACTCTTTGCTTAATTGAGGTTTCTTAAATGGTTCTTTAAACCTTAGTAAATCATATAGCGGCAAGGATGTTATTACAATTGATGAAAAATATTCAGATATTGGGGTCATATTGGTTGCTTAAGTCATGGAGCCCTTTGCAAATAAATGCTGAAATTGTGGTGGAGTGATCTTCACGAAGTTATCATGGTGTGATTGCAGGAAGATTGTATTGGTGTTCGCATTAACATTGACAAGTTGGACAATCGTTCTTTGACGTTTTCAGAATGCAGTTATTCTTATGACTTATCTGCCCTGAAATAATTACTGCGAGAATTGCCTCTTGTCGATTGGACATCCGGGAAATAGAGAATAAAATCGACCCAGGATTATCAAGGTGTTTTATAGATCTGTTTAAAAACTCAAAATCATGACGCTGATGAGAGCTTTGATCGAATTCCTATGCAATTAGAGGACTTTGTTATATTTATGATTGCCAAAATTTTCCCAGATAGACTGGGTACTGTCAGTGTCATTCGGAGCAGTATTAACATACCGATGGCGACATGAGGTTATCTCGTTCGACTTTGGGAATTGTGTCATTTTAGGAAAGCCTTGTTACTTCGATAAATATTTCCTGTTTGTTCTGCCCATGATCTGCGGGAGCTTAAATTTATGTATGGGCAACTTATTTATTTCGTTGTAAGTACGGCTTATATTCTGGTACGATACAAACCATTTCAAAGCATCATCACTGTACACGGTACTTTACTCACAAGTCTTTTTTATCTTTCTCTATCAACGCCTATGTGCGGTATTACTTTCAAAATTGTTCAGAAAGTCATGTTAAATACTTGATGGAGACTTGAACCAGATATAAAAGCTTCTTTTGGGTATCTTTTGGGTACTTGATCGAGCCATAAACCATTTTAATGTCAAAGATATCAAGGGGATTTGATTTAGATATCAAAAACTTGATTTTGAAGAGGTCTTGATACACTTCTAGATGCAGTTTTGATGCAGACTTAATAAAAACTTGATTCACTTCATTGATAGAACTACTTGACTTGGTAGATATGTCTATAGAGATGATGCAGACGATGTATAGACTTGCTTCACTGCAGACTTGATGAAGTCTTGATCCAGGATAGATAGAGATTCAAAATAAACTTAATAGAGTCCATAATAAGCCTGCCTAAATGGAAAAACGCTCCAGTTAGAATTAAATTGTAAATTAGAAACTTTGTATATATTTATTTGCACACTTATGTTCGAATCAAATTTGAAATATCTAATTTCTTTATCTGTACATTGCTGCCCTACTTTATTTTAGTTTCTTTTTACCTTTTTTAGTTGAAGTGTAATTAAGTATTTAAAATCAACTACTTTAAAAATAGTTTAATAATTTCTATATGCTTAAAATATAAGAAAAATTATCGGGTGATTGCCGAAATTAGATAAGAAGCGATTTTGTAATTTTGGTTAAAGTAATAGCGAAGGATTAACCTTTCGTTAAAGTAATGTACCCTACTTCATCGAAATAAGCAGCTAACTTTTAAATTAAATGAGTAATTGGAATATATAAGTTAGTTTGTATGTAATTTTTTAACGTTATGGGTTTTCCGTAAATATGAAAAAGTTGATTTGAAAACGTCGATTTTTTAGGTCTTCTTTAATGGAAATGAGGGTGGGTAAATTCAGTCTGTTGTGTGACAGCGCACTCTCGAGCAAACGCTTTGCCATTGGCACTCTTTGGAGTGGAAGCGATTTGCATGGCGCGTTCTGATTAGCAATTGCTATGGAAACAAGTTGATAATGTGATCAGACCCGGACTGCGTCAGTTTGCCGGATTTTTACGACCCTCCCACCCCCAAAAATATAAACCCCGTGAACGTCATTTTAAAATCAGCAAAACCGGTAGGGTTCGTCTGCGGAACTGTTCCCCGTCAACGCTCAACATAGTTGACAGATTTATTAATTTTCCAGTCGACGTTTCTCTCCTTTTGCTGACCCGTCAGTCGTTTCGTCCTGCGTTTCTCGTATCGTAAAAAACATCGCTCGCAAATAGAGTTACTGACGGGACGTTTCATTTTTGCATTTTCGCGCTTTCAATTTGGTCGTTATATTTCAATTCTCCCCTCTTTACAGCTACGGTATGGACCTCAACGGTGCGAGAAGAAAAAATGCTACGAGGGAAACCACCAGTACTCTCAAAGCATGGCTCAACGAGCACAAGAAAAATCCATATCCTACCAAAGGAGAAAAAATTATGCTAGCTATTATTACCAAAATGACTTTAACGCAAGTATCCACGTGGTTTGCGAATGCAAGGCGGAGGCTTAAGAAAGAAAATAAGATGACGTGGGAACCTAGAAACAGAGTTGAAGATGAAGACAATAACAACGAAGATGATGATCATAAGAGTACTGATGGAAAAGATATTCTTGGTAAGTTATTTTTTTGTTGTTGAAGGTGTGGTAAGTAATGATGAATTATTTTTATAGATTCCAAAGATTCTGGTACAGCATCCAGCGAAGACGGTGATAGACCATCAAACCCTCGTTTAGGTCCTGACACCAGTAGCGAATGGAGCGAATCAAGACCAGATAGCGGTCCAGATAGCCCTGAATGTTTGTATGATAGAAACCATCCAGCTTACTTGCCCCAAAGATCATCCGGATCACCTCCACCAATTTCCGGATCATCATCCTCCAAGCCGAGGATTTGGTCCTTAGCAGACATGGCCAGTAAAGAGAGTGAGACTACCACTCCTACTTCTCTAGCATCGTTTTATTCATCACCGGCTGCAAGGTTGGTTCCACCTCTTGGTAGTCGACTGCCTCCTCCGACTTTACACACTGGTCCGTACGCGAGACCTCCGGATCTTTATAAGATTTATGGTCCGGCGGTTGCTCAGCATATAGCGGCTAGTGCAGCTAGTGGAACTCCACCGGACGTCTCTCTTTTGGAGACGTATTCTCGATTACCTGGAGCTAGTTTAATGACGGCCAATCCGGGAGGATTGAAAAGCACGGCGACGTCGAGTTCCGGTTCCAGTGGGGCACCTCTTCTACCGTTGGGTTTGACGACGACGTCGAATTCTTCGAGGATGTCACCGTCGTCGACGTCCTCGATATCGTCCGGTTCTGAGACGCCCCACAAACCGGTTGCTCTGAACAAAGCTTGACTGCCGGTGACCTTGTGGAACTGATCTACCTCCGCTGGCGTGTGTGGACAATAATAATTGCCTTCGCGGCTCTGAAACTGATGTGTTGGCACCATTTCCCCCTGTTTAGTAGTGTGGTGTACAGTAAATGTGATATATAACACCGTTTTGGTTCCTTAAGTTACGGCGCTCCAAGGAAGCCGACGGCGAGAGGACGTTGCCCAACATTTCCCATTCGTTTGTTTGCTCTTTGTCTTTAGTGTACATAAAATTTATAAATACTATATTATACAAAATGATGGATAACTAAAGTTTTCTCGGCGGTATAAAAATCCTGTATATGTATGTATATGTAAATTAGATTGTAGCAACTTAAGAAAAAAATCTTTGTTATTATTATTATTATATTATTGCTATGATATAATAAACTAATTGTATCACTATAAGAACAATATACATGATAATAAAATACGTGGAAAATAGAGATCGTACTGAGAAATTATATCAAAAAAAAATAAATAAAAATAATAAAACGTGGCACACGACTACATATTAATATATTTACGTATTAATTATTATTATAAACTAATAACCGTACTTGTTTCAATCAACAATTTATTGTTTCGTTTTTCTTCGAATTTTCTTGTGTTCCTCCCATATAAAAAACGATAACGACATATCACGTTTAAAAGAAACATACCGATGGGCAGATGTGTACGTTTATAGTGTATAGAATGCTGCGGTTCGTGTGTTAAAAAAAAGAAGAAGCTGCAATAAAGTGATTCGTTCATTACAATGCTTTCTCGTTTTCTTTCATTTTTTTTATATTTCGTTTACCCCGATCGCGTTTAGACCATTCCTTTACAGGGAGCGATGAGAAGGACCATCCTTTGTGTTTGTGCGGTCCCGGCCCGAAACACGTTGACAATAGACATGTTGGCGGTACAAATCCGAAGAATCGGGGACCACCGGCAGCGGAGGACGATTTAGAGCTCCGTCGATGCTTTTAAGGCCGGGCGCACAAGTCGACTCTCTCTGGGCACATTCCCGATCGACCAACTCTGCACGACCTCCTCATGGTACTATATAAAACGGGTGGTGGAGTTTCATGATAAACGATTCTCGTTTTCAATATTGTAAAATATCAATGTAGCTATTTCAAGGTAAGTGTAATTTTAGATATACGATTTTGAGATATTTTCTCAATTTTAATAATTCCTATTGAAACAAAAATTAGCTAAAAATCTTCATTTGGAATCTGGGCGAACAGAGTTCCGTTAGTAAAGGCGGGGGCGCTCCTTTGCCCCAGTCGGCTCCCCCTTCGGTAAAAACTGTCGTAAATCGCCCGCTTATAGATTGATATAAGAAAGTTGGTATCTTCATTATTCCGACGTGGGTCGAGGCCTTATAGGGCTCAGCCGGGCCGCTAAATTGGCCTCCGTGACAGCCCGATGACAACATCATCAGCGGACTCCCTTCGCCCGAGAAAAGAAGACTATACCTTGTTTTTCGTTTGCTTTTGAAAGATTCATCGGACGCATAGTGATCACCTCAATAATATTAATCTTTTTTTAAGTTACGAAATCTTAAAAGAACAAATGATCGATATCATTCTCCACAACGAGATAAATTCGCGGTAAAGTTGCACGACTTACTTTAAGAGAAGTAATTTAAGGGAAGTAATATAAATTACACGTAATTCACAAGCGCGACCAAGTCGTAACTCATTTCGGGCGGTCTCAAATTGAGCGTTTCAAAAATGCACTTAACGTCCTCCATGTGTTGCGGCGGCGGCGCTCTCTCGAACGCATATCTCAACCGGATAATTGGGCACCGTTTTCACGGTGACGCTTCTGTCAAACACCGACTCGTGCATCCAGTTTTAGAGGAAGCCGCGAACGAAATAATAAAAAAAAAATGACCATGGGGCGAAACGAACCGACGATGAGGCGGCCCTCCTTCTCAGTCAGATACAATTATTTTAACTATTTTCGAGGACGCCTCTAAAAATACAAGGCGCAAACTGCATCGTCGACCCCAACATCTGTTTCCACTAGTTTTTTGAAGACTTATAACCTCCTACACATGATAATAATTAGTATAGTAAAATTTCGATATAACGGAGTTCATTAGAACGGACTTCGTATAAAACGGACTAAACATTTTTAAGTCTTACTATTCATATTGTTTATCTAATACATTACTATATTTAAATATAAATGTTAGCGTGTATAGATAGAATCCAACTCGGGTTATTACCCAAGTTGCTCTATTTAATGATCATCATACGATTATTCAAAAAACGCTAATTGTTGTATATTTTTATTGAACTAAAAGTAGAATTAACACTAGACTTGGAACTTAGAACTAGAAACATTCGGGTTTAGCCGTCTTAAGAGACGTGTACGGCTAAACCCGAATGTTTCTAATTCTAGGTGTAGTGTTAGTTCTGATGCTAGTGTTAGTTCTTGCTTTAGTTGTTATTCAGATTGTTCTATATTTCTCATTGAACTAAAACTAGAACTAACACTAGACCTAGATTTAGAAACATTCGGGTTTAGCCGTCTTAAGGGACGCACTTAAGAAACTTTCTAGTTCTAGGTTTTAAATGAAGCGTCTATTTGCAAACGCGGCTACATCCATTTTAGTAAATTTTTCAGAAAGGACAAATATAAATTATAGTTGTGGTGGAACGGATATCCAGCCGGATACCGGATAGTTACCAAATATTGGGCTTTGGCCAGATATTAAAAACCTATTACTTACAATTAGTACTCCAACATTCACAGGAATTAGTATCTCTTTTAGGTATTGGACACTGCAGATAATAATCAAGTTCAAGCCCAATAGGACGTTTTTCATTGAATACAACTTTATTTACATCAGGTTTGTCTTTAACAACCTCACTGTAACAATCCCAATACGATACATAAAATCTCTTGTTGCAGTTTCGTCTAGTTTCCTTCTCTTCGCTTGTAATTCATCATCACATTCATTACTAACAGAACTGTCGCTGTTATCACTTTCGATTGTTAATTAAAGTATCCTCTTCTTAATGCAAAAAGCTGTTTTGCAAAATCACTTTTAGTTCTTGAGAAAAAAATTTTTGAAATAATCGACAATTTTTTCAAATTTTACAATTTTCGCCAATTAAGTTTTAAGAATTCGTATAAAATCCAGTTCTTGGAATAAGAGTATGAAAATTTCCCAAAGTGTTAGTATGAGTGTCCTCTTTCCAATGAACCAACACGTTTTGCAAAATAACTTTTAGCTTTTGAGATAACAATATTTGAAGTTTTGATAAAATTTTCGATGTTGCAATTTTCATCGATAATTTTCAAAATTCGCTATAAAATTAATTTCTTGAAGGATCCTTGTGAAAATATCACCAATTATTAATTAAAATATCCGCTTTTCAATGCAACAAGCCGTTTTGAAAAATCGCTTTTAGTTTTTGAAAAATACATTTTTGAAATGATCGACAATATTTTTAAATTTTGCAATTTTCGCCAATTAAGTTTTAAAAATTCGTATAAAATCCACTTCTTAGAATATGAGTATAAAAATTTCCCAAAGTGTTAATAAAAGTGTCCTTCTTCCAATGAACCAACCTGTTTTGACAATAACTTTTAGTTTTTGAGAAAACAATATTTGAAGTTTTGGTAACATTTTCGATGTTGCAATTTCATCCATAATTTTCAAAATTCGCTATAAAATTAATTTCTTGAAGGATCCTTGTGGAAATATCACCAATTATTAATTAAAGTATCCTCTTTTTAATGCAAAAAGCCATTTTGAAAGATCAGTTTTAGTTCATAAGAAATAAATTTTTGAAATAATCGACAATTTTTTCGAATTTTGCAATTTTCGCCAATTAAGTTTTAAAAATTCGTATAAAATCCACTTTTTGGAATATGAGTATAAAGATTTTCCAAAGTGTTAATGAGAGTGTCCTCTTTCCAACGAACCAACACATTTTGAAGAATAACTTTCAGTTTTTGACATAATAATATTTGAAGTTTTGATAAAATTTTCGATGTTGTAATTTTTATCGATAATTTTCAAAATTCGCTATATAATTAATTTCTTGAAGGATCCTTGTGGAAATATCACCAATTATTAATTAAAGTATCCTCTTTTTAGAGTTGCTTCGTTAGTTAAATCAGCATCAAAAAAGTTCATTTTGTATCTTGGTTCCAAATAAGTTGACACATCAGGTTTCTTATTAATTTCAGTTTTATTCAAATATCGCAATAATGTGGTAATGTAGGGTCACTTCAAAAATGTACCAGAAATTACAATGGCCGGATAGATATGCCGAATATCCGGTATCCGGCTTTTCGCAAAATCACTATCCGTTCCATCACTAAATTATAGCTTTTAATAAAAAGTTAATTTTTTTTTAATTATATGGATTCTACTACTTGTGATGGGACTTAACTTCAAGCAAAATTTGGAAAATCCTTTGCAACTAATAAACATTTTATTCATATTTGAAGTTGGGATGAAGCCGGTTTTGCAACTAAGAAAGGTGATGTAGCTGCTTTTGAAACAAAGTATACAGATAAAAATAGTACTGCATAACAATAAAAAAGCAAAAATGGAGTTATACCGTATGTATATTTAATCAATACACTGATTACCAAAGAGTAAACAACATAACTAACAGCGTTGGTAACGAAGTAATAAACTAACTAAAAACATAATAATATTTTAGTAAAACAATACAAGTTCGAAATTTTTTATTTAGATATTGGGTTATAGTATTTCCTCATGTTGTATTTCGAAACTTCGCAAAATAGTTCGTCATCGTGTATTACGTTTTTGTAATGTTCTAAGCAATCAATATAGCACCATTTAAGTCCATAATGTTTTTTTAGTATTATCTACATTTTGGGAATTCTGATCTTTAATCTTCTTCCCTGGTATCTTCATTAACTTTACGTTTGTAATTTGTTTTCCTCGTTTCATCACACCTTTTGGAATAAATTAGTTACAAGTGCATGCTGTTTAATAATGTCAAAGTACTGGTCTGGTTTTACACCATTATTTCTGTTTGCGATTTTTTTTTCGATTTATGCAAACACCCTGTCCGGTGGCAGAAATAAGTACCTCACCATAGGGAATACTCTTTTTAAAGTGTTTGGGGTTTTCAAGATATACCAGTAGGTTAGCATCCCCAGCGACATAGTATTTTTATTTTGGTCTCCGGATTTATCCGCAACACAACGCAAAGTTGTTGTTTTATAGAAAGTTAGATACGCAGGAAGATACTTCATTAGATCTTTGTGAATACTCTTGTTCTCTCCATACATAGGAAAATTCATTGTTTTTTAATGGGTTTTTGGAACTGCCCTTCACGATGGTGAAGTTATACAGGTTAAGCTGTTTTTTGTAATACACAATTTGATCTGGAACCCTGGGACTTGGAAAATTTTCCTCACAATCAATCTAGATTAGTTCATTTGGTGAAGCTTCTTTTCGCAATTTAATGTATTTAAAATTGTTTCATCTTTCAGTCATCAGTACGGGGTGTACCAAAACCTATGTGAATCTTGTGTTATATATTATTCTAAAATAAGCACATTTTACTTCAATGACTTATCACAAGAATTGTTATTCATTTTTTTAATATTTAAATCGCTACTTAAATAAACGCGTACAGAGAACTGATTCGATGCACTGCAATGTTTTAATGAAGTTTACCTCAATTAGGTCCTTTTATACCACTACGATGTTCCGTTGGAAGAATTATGGTAGAAAGAAACCTTTGGACAACATCCTGTACACGATGCTTT